AACCCCCCCCCCCCCCCCCCAACCCCTCCCACCCTCCCTCCCTCGCACCCGCCTCGGGCCGCGAATCGTCAAAAGACCGAGCTTTAGGTTATAGTCGAGAGGAGTGGGACGTGCGGCCCATGGGCGATCCCGTTCCAATAATGAATAAGCGCGTATTTATGGGCGACGATGGGTGATCGTTAGATTATCGCTCGTCGGCCAATAAGCTCAAACGATGAGTTAGCGCGCAGGAGAGACTAATTAATTAGTGTTGAGAGCGTGTCGGCGGGCACTTGCCCAGGTCTCGCGCCCGCCTTGATTATCGAGGCAAATACGACGAGAGGCGTCGAGTTGGCTCGAGTGTTCACGCGCGCTTATCGTGCCGATGGATATTTATCAAAGGACAACAATGAGTCGCGCCGGGGGCGAGAAGAAACGTATAAATAATGCGGTCTGCTCGTGGGACGAGCGTAAGTGAAACCGGCCGTAGCAGCGTCCGCGCGGATCACGAATATGATCCCGACGACGAGGATAATCGCGCTCCTGGAGCTGGGACTGGCCGTTACGGTGCAGCTGGGCTTCGCCTGGGCCTACAACGCCGCCGATTACAAGGATCCGCATTACACCGAGGGCCGCACTACCATGGTTCATCTGTTCGAATGGAAGTTCAAGGACATCGGCCTCGAGTGCGAACGCTTTTTGGGCCCGATGGGATACGCCGGCGTGCAGGTGAGTGCTCGAGGCCCGTGGTGGTGCACGGGTGAAGGGGAGAGATGCACACGATCGGAGAGTACCGATTACGCCGCGTTTGACGCCCGTTTTACGGCATTTTACGGCGGAGGCCGCAATTCGTGCTTGCCTCTAAGACAATAATCGGCAACATTGAGATGCGAATGCTCGCGTGCGAGTGGCGATTGTTCGGCCATTCGCTCGGTACTCGGGCCTGTTCGGGCCGTTGGGCTCCCGTATGCGCTCGAGCCCTCGCTTCCGCAGACAGTTTTTTCCGGACTAAATTGAACGTTCGCATGCTTTCGAATAACCCAATGCGAGGAGGATGCGAATAAACAAAACGCTGAATAAGATTTCATACGCGCCTCATGCAGCTTATATTCCGCTGATACAATAAACCAATTTGCATATTTATTTATTTTCAACGCGTGATTATACAGCAATGGGAGGTTGAAGAGCAAATTCAATATACCAATTATATTAAAATCATTGTTTGCGATTGCCTTAAAAACTATAATTTTTAAGTCTTACCACTTTACGAGCATCTTAATGCCCCGAGAGTATTAAAATAGTAATAATAATGTAATAATAAATACAATTATTTAAAGCCAGAAAAATGGCCGGATATTTATACGATTTATTAAATATTTTTAGGGAGGGGCGAAAAAGAAAAATGACGAACATGATATTCTTCGGAAACGCTAAATTGGATAAATCTATTTGTGCATGAGAACGAGATTTCGTATGCGAATTAGACAAATCGAATACAATTATCATTGGCATCGACTTTTCGAAAATTTATAAATGCATTAATCTTGAGGAATAATGTTGTGATCGCTTACAAGGATTTGCATTTTGTTCTAGTAATTCATTCTTTGTAATTTAAATTTTTAATTTCGTATTCTAACATATCCTTACAAAAGAAAATTCCCAATATAGAAATAACAAATATAAATATCACGATATTTAATACTGAATCTAACACATTCATTTTCAACGATCGTAATATTTTTTTCATTTACATTACGCACGCATGTGCATAAATTTCAGTTCCATTTCTTATGAAAACTCTAGGATGAGTTATTTAATGATCGTTCATTTAATAAATCTTACAAAATCCCCATGTATTTTATCCCTATAAAAGCTATATTAACTAAGTAAAAGAAAAGAGAAATGTACTCGCAAGGCATATATTTGTGCAGGATTTAATAAATTAAACAAAATTGGAAGTAAAGTTTGTGTTTGCAATGTTTATCTAATTAAATTAGAAGAACCAAGCTGTTTATGTTGAATTTTGCGCAAGAATTTAAATCCGACTTTAAATTACATTTAAGAAAATATAATTAAAACAAAAAAAAACGGATAAAGTCATTGTGCAAAGTTTAACAAGAAAAGTATGTAAAATCGTCATAATAATTACAATTCAAATAGATTTAGAATATATATTTAACAAGTTTAATGTTAAAACAAAAAAAAAAAAAACAAAAAAAAAACAAAAAAAAAAACAAAAAAAATCATTGTCTCGAAAGTGTTTAATGTTTATCTTCTTATAAAGTCGGTAAATAATGGAAATTTAATATTGCTTATATAGCTGAATATTAAATATACGTCAGAATTTGCGTAAGATGGAATATTTGAGACTAGAGCAGACTAAGTACTTGAGTAAATACATTAAAATTTTAAATAAGCTTAAACAGGTTAAGATTTTACATCCAAGATACAAATCAGAGATAAAATTATATATCTGCATATAACGAGCATTAACTGATTTTATTCATGTGAAATGCAATACTAACAATCCCATAAAATTTCAGAAAATATTTCCTTATTTCATCGACCGAAAATATCTTGGGAAAATTTTTATAGAATTTTATTTACCTTCTAAAAGTAGATATTTTAATATAAAGTTTATCTTTGCAATCTGATAAGAATTTTATAAAGATAAACATTGAGAGAGAGAGAGAGAGAGAGAGAGAGAGAGAGAGAGAGAGTATAAGATGTGAGTTCCTGTCGAGGGTTTGCGCGGGCAGGGTTTGCGTGGACGGGGGGGGGGGGGTACTACGATTTTAAATATCATTGTCGAATATAGGAAATGTTTCTGTTATTTTTAGAATTAATTGGAAGTTTTTTTCAATGAAATTTTTATAAGCATCAAAGGTACTAACACGCACTGCTAATTTAAAAAAATAATACGATTAGTTAAAGCATTAGGAGATGATTTAAGAAAAATTAAAATAAATTTATTAATATAATAATATGGACATTAAAATAGATTGTAAAAATACGCACATCTTTTCGCATATATTTGATTTAAAAATATTTGTTATATTTGATAATAATACGCAGAATATATCAAGTAAACTATGAAATACACATGTTTTCTTCGAGACGAACAACATGATGAAATAATAATAAGGACGGATAATAGTAGGAATAATAATTATAACGATTGGAAATAATAATTATAGCGCAATTATAAAATAATAAAATCTCGAATAAATCTCAATATACGTTCGTTGGACATTAACTTAGACATTAGTTAGAAATTAATTTTTATCTACTTAATATTCCCGTATTTACAATTTATAATCAATCGCATGGCGTGCAAAAAAGCTCATTTTAATGTAAAAAATTCAAAATACATAATACAATGTTGATAAAATTTACCATTAATAATGAGTATTGCGAAATACAATCCGAGTACACATACTTCATACCATATTGTATATAATCAGTACGTCCGTGGTAAGATTTCTTTGACATTGTGATGTTTTTACTTGGAAAAATTAATGATTCCATTCAACTAATAATTTTATTCCGCTAATCACAACACATGCGCAGGCATACATACAGTACTGTGCTTCGGGAATAACATCTTCTCTATCTAACATTATCCTTTAATCTTCAATATCTAGTCTTAAATTACCATTTTGCAATTTCTTTCCCGGTATCTTTATTCGCGGAAGAAAGACTCGAGTGCTATTAATAGCAGATAGATTGAAAAATCATAATACGAGATTCATAATTTGGGACTTGAAAAGTTTTCATACTTCAGCTTACGAGATGCTATGATTAATAGTACAAACAATAGAATTTTCTCATTATTAACCTTGCAGCTCGACTCATCAGCTTGGAATTTGATATACACAATAGGTATTCATAATTAGTAATATTAAAAGACTTTAATGAATTGAGTCGGTGATGACGATTGCAAACATCGTATTATTTCCATGCCTACGAATTAAAGTTTCCTATGGTTTCTAATTATCTGAAAAAGAAAAAAAGAAAGAAAAAAAAAATCAATCAATCCCATCGTTTGCACCTAAGGATGACAGTAAAGCAACGACATACGGACTCTCACTGACTTAATAATTTCTCAAAATTGATAATCCATCAAACTGTGATGGTGATCCAACTGTGTCTTTAGGTCTCCCCGATCAGCGAGAATGGCATAGTCACGGGTCGGCCGTGGTTCGAGCGGTACCAGCCCATCTCTTACAGAATTATTAGTCGCTCCGGCACCGAGGATGACTTCAAGGTGATGGTAAGCCGCTGCAACGCCGTTGGTGTGCGGATATACGTTGACCTGGTCTCCAATCATATGACAACCGACCTGGAACCGGCGCTCGGCGTCGGCGGCTCGACGGCGGAGCCGCGGATTCTCATTTACTCGGCGGTAGCTTACGGCCCGGACGACTTCCATCCCATGTGCACGATCACTAATTACGGGGATGTCGATCAGGTGCGCAATTGCAGTCTCAACGGCCTCCACGATCTCGATCACAGCAAGGATCACGTGAGGGACAAAATTGTGGAGTTTGTCAATCGGGTCATCGATCACGGCATCGCCGGCATTAGGTATGCGAAGCGTCAGGGCATACCGGCCCCGACAATATCTATCTCTCTTTGCTTCTATGTTGCATTTACATGCGATTAAGGACAGCCACCTGTAATTACGATTTTACAGCTCAATTATAACATAAATTGTGTATCCATTAAGGCGTGTGCTCGTAAAGCCGATGGATCAATTTTATGAAAATATTCGTCTGCCATTCCGATATTTGTCAACTACTCCTCTTCGTTATTTTTATTTCCTCCATCCTTCCTACCGATCTTTTTACTTTTGCCTTTCCCCTCTCTCTCTCTCTACCTCTTCTTCTTCTTCTTCTTTTTTTTTTTTTTTTGTTTTTATTCGAATGAAATTGATTGAAAATTGATGAGATTTTAAGAATTCATGGCTTATTTGCGAAATAAATAAGTTTTATGATAAGGTATTTTAAAGATGGATATACCAAAGTATTACACCACTTTGACGATATCATTTCCTTTTTAATTTTTCAAATTAATGATCATTCCATCAAAACGTTCGTCTCTTATTCATTGTAATTACGCAAACTAGAAGTTTGTTGCCTTGAGCAACATAAAACACATAATAAATGTTGCCGGCGATATTTAGAATAATTTCTTGTACAAATATCGTTCCTTCTTCTTTTAATATAAAGATATTGGATGATTGAAATATCCTTGTCGTGATATATGAATGATTATGGATTGTAACAAATAAAGTTCTGAACTCTGATGTTTGAATGTTTTTTCGATTTCAATTTGATTTCACCGTTTGCTTCATTAATTTATACAATAAATGGCATTCATTATTGATTCATTACTTCTCAAGATATTATAATATTATTTCTATTTGTAATACATTGAGAAGATTAATCATATCAACTGTATACGATAAATAAATCTAAATAAAATTATGTATATATCTTATCTGTAAATCTGATAAATTAAAATAAAAACTTTATTAAATTATCAAATTTTCGAAGGAAATTATTGTTACAGTAGTTTTGTTTTTAACTAATTTTTAAGTAATAATATTAATTCCGATACATTTTCACAAATACTATTATATATTTCTTAATTATTATTTTATTTTTTTTTGTTTCTATGAGAAACCGATCATTGAAGAATAATGTTAAATTGATGAATAATGATTGAAATCCTCGTGCTCACTATTTAATAGATTATATCAACAATTTCGTGACTTTATATTGCAATCCTTAATAATGAATTATTTTACAATTGTATAACAAATTATTATTTAATAATTTCTCAATAGTTTAGTAGTCACCTCTTCTTTCCATATTCAAATTAATCAAATTTTATAATAAGTTTAAATCACAATTTACTTATATTCAACTAATTTTCTTATGCAATTATTTCCATATAACATATTCCATTACACGGTTGTTCCGTTCAATAGTTACAGTATTGCATTATGATTATATGCATTACTATTGCATAGAGTTTACTGCAGTCTTAATTGCAATATTAACTAGTAATTTTTATACACAAGAGCTGACTTACTTTTTCATTACATAAAATAAAAACTCGTGAGCTTATGCAAAAATGCTCGTGTTTTTTTTTTTTTTAAAACATGTTAATTTAAAAAAAAAAAAAAAAAAAAAGAAGTATGATTTATGAACCGTACATTCGTGTTTTAAAAATTTAATGCTAGACATTCCTTTACTAAATAAATACAAGCATATTTGATTTAGATAATTCGTGAAAATCAAAAGATTTTGTTGAAATGAAACGGAGATAAAATTTTATTTTATGTACATTATTGATTAATTAAAATCGTCATGTTATCATAATTCAAATTGTATTAAACATATTGAAGATAATGGGAGTATTATTTAAACATCAAAATTGATGATAGATTAGAGGAATTTTATTAATGTTTTAATAATTAATTTTATTGATATTACGCATGTAGGATACAATTGCAATTGATTAATATTCATATTGTTACTTATTTTTACGAAGTACGTAATTATAAATATTGTGACTTTGATGTTTTGGATAGATAATGCAGTGCAGTCGACTATATAAATACACTTTATGAAAATGCCTGTGGATCTATACTCGTTTATGTTCATATATAAAGTCAAAAGAAACTTTAAGAGTATTTACTAATGATATGGTTTTTTCGTTGCACATGGTTCTATTTGTGTTTTGTGATTTTTCATAAAATTCGCAAAGATCACTTTAAAACAAAATCATTGTTTTTCAAAATATCGTATTATAAGTAAATAAACACATATAATAATGAATCTTGATAAATGTATGTTAAATGTTGCAATTTGTTCAGTGTCTTGTTTATTGTTACATTGTATTATTCGCAAATATTTGGTTAAAACATTTTTTTTGTCAAAATTTATTATAAAAGTATGTAATTTCACTAATGAACATTCGTTTTGTCAATATTGAAGATACTGAACGTAATCGTGGAATCGTTTGTTTAATATGTAATCCGATTTAAAAATGAGATTCGTGTTTTGTAATAAAAATCAAAATAAAAAACAAAAAAAAACAAAAAAAAAAACAAAAAAAAACAAAAAAAACAAAAAACAAAAAAACAAAAAAACAAAAAAAGGAAGGACATATTACAAATTGTAATGCGCATTTACTGTATCATAGAGAAAAGTTTCATACTGCGACGTCATCTTACAGCCAAAGTCAGATGGTCGTAAACCTATTTGGACTAATTGTTTCCATGCTTTTCTTGCTCAAACAATTACAATTACAATTACACCTGATCAATATACTTGACAATTGGCTTGATACATGAATATAGGATCGATGCAGCCAAACACATGTGGCCCAACGATCTCAAGGTCATCTATGGACGATTGAAGAACTTACGAGAAGACATTTTCGGCCCGGATACCCGACCCTTCATCTATCAGGAGGTTATCGACTTGGACAGAGGCGAAGGATCCAACAAGTGGCAATATAACAACCTCGGGATAGTGATGGAGTTCATCTACGGAAGCATAATTGAGACTTGTTTTCATGGCTGGTTGCCGCTGAGTAGCCTCGAAAACGTGGAATTATTAAGCCGGGACCTGATGTTGCCCGTCGACGCTCTGGTCATGCTCGATAATCATGACAGTCAGCGGTCGGACAGCAGCACTTTGACTTACAAAAATGGCAAGATTTATAAGGTACGATTGTGTCACAGGTTTTTGTTTCCTTCCCTGATTATTTCATCTCCTCTCTTTGCTCGTCGCGTGCACATAATACCTCTCAGCGATACAGTAGTTGTGTAGGAATAATCGTCCATCCCTTTTCATGCATTCGTTATTACGGATATTTACGATTATTTTAAGTGCCGGGGAGTCGTTGTTACGAGGACACTAAAACAAACACTATATGATAGGCGAATAAGGATTAACGACTCTTATAGGAAAATCCCATGGATATTTCATTACTTAGTAATTAGTTTCAAAATAGCGGTAATAACAGTCGTGGCTAATGTAAAATTATAGCGAGACATTGAAATCCAAATATTCCAGCCAACGATAAGCCTGCGGATGCACAATAATATGGAATAAGCAGGCTATTTTTAAACGATGCATTCTTTTCATCGAAATAAATTCTTCGAGTCATTAATTAAAACTGAAATACAAGCGCCAATTATTTCTCGGCTACATAAAGCCGTTGTAATGACCATTTCTCTTAGCAACACGTATCTACATAATAATAATGCTACCTACCAGGCGGCATGTCGCATTAGTAGTGCATAAAATTCTTTCTCGGTGTTTTCTTAATCGCACCATAAATTGCCACGATGTATACACATATACATATACATATATATATATATATATATATATATCTTTTTTTTTTTTTTTTTTTTTTTTTTTTTTTTTTTTTTTTTTAAGAAAAACATATATTTATACACGTGTGCGTAAATTTTTATTGCCGCGTTACCGCTAATACAAACAACGCGTGTTTCATAATCAAACGTACCGGAGATAAATTCAAATAATGTGTGCTTATTTAAATTTTAAAGAAACAATGTTTCGCTTAGCCGCCACGTTAAATTCAAATCTCAATAATATTCCTGTATAAAATTTTTTTGCCATCCGCGTTGTCTACGTATGATGATGAATTAAAAAATTTCTCAACTCATCTAAAAGAAAGACAAATTGAGCTCACCTTGCCACTCCACCCTCTTTCTCCGGCTTACATCCGCTTGTTCGCACTTACGTTTGGCGGCGAAGCGAGGCCAAGGAAGAAGAAACAAAACGACCACTACAACGGGAAAGAGCAGCGATTCATTTCCGGTCACGTAATTTTGATTTGACTGGAACTTTCCGTCCCACCAAAAACTCGCCTCGACGCGCCGACTTCCCATGCCCGTTCCTCAATTTCACCGTCAACAAAAAGTAAAAGGCACATAACACAGTGCAAATCCTCTCGATATACAGATGGCCTTGGCTTTTCTGCTGGCCCATCCCTACGGGCACACGTGCGTCATGAGCTCGTACGCGTTCACGAACTTCTTCCAAGGGCCGCCGGCCGACTCCATGTACAATATCATCTCGCCGAATCCCGTGGGTGAGGACCTCGACGAGGAAATAGAGAAGTGCGACTACGGTTGGGTGTGCGAGCACCGTTGGCCCGAGGTCTACGGTATGGTCGCCTTCCGGAATTCCGTCCATCGCGCGCCACTCACCAATTGGTGGTCCAACGGCGAAAACCAAATCGGTAAAGTAATCTGCACTCGTAACCTGATTTGTTTAAAATTGACGAGGGGCTATGTGAATGTGCTGGTGTTGGTCGAAAGGAGGCTAATATCGATATTGAATGACTGACAGAACGTCATTTTCAAAGTAAGAATGTGTATTTCCTTGGCGAGTGCTTATTAGAGATAAAAGATTTTCACGCGCATAAATCGAGGCGCAAAATCTCTAATTTATTATAATATTATAATCTTTAATTTTCTTTTTAACTAGCAATTGTTAAAATTATGGTAATTAAGTTTTTATCAAATTTATCAATAATATATTTTTAACGAAGTCATTATAAAATAACAATACAACTTTTATAAATTTTTAATATAAACTTTTTTTAATTGTATACAATAAATCGGCCATTATTTGCTTTCGAATAAACCGAGGATTATGAACTTATACCGCAAGTACATATAAAACTTTCATTATTACGTATCATACGCTACATTAAATGAAATAAAAACTGCGATTACTTAATTTTAGATGAGGTGGGTAAGGGATTAAATAATATAATGAAAGTACATCGAAAGTAAAATCATTATTATTGCTTTTTTAATTTTTTACAGATTTTTACTGGATTTTGTAAAAGGGGATAAAGAAATTCGATTAAAAATCATATTTTTCACATTTATAATATTGTGCTGGCAAATGACTAAAATATTTTTTCATTTAACAATAGAAAGAATTCAGCTACCTTTAACAAATAAATACATAATGTTTATAAGATGGTCACAATAAACTGATATTTAGATATAATCGGGCGGTGGTCGGTAAGGAGGGAAGGTGGGATGAAGGGGATTAGGGCGGGCGATATAGAGGGTGAGGGGGAAGAAAACGAAGGAAGGGAAGGTTAGAAGCAATAAATGTATAAAAATAAAAGAAATTAAATATAGCGTGTGCTTATGTATTCAGTGAAGTATCGGCGAGGGAGAGAGAGAGAGAGAGAGTGAGAGAGAGATTAAAACGATTTAGAAGTGACAAGGTACCATACCATATTCATGGAGGTTCATAAATTTATTCGCGCTATTCAATGCAAAGCCAAAGCTAGTGATTTTCTTTTAGAAACTTGTCGTTGTGCAAGAAAGTAATGCTTCACAATGAAAATCACAGTGCCGGTAATTAATGCCTTCCATTTTTAAAAATGGTGGATGTAATTGGAGCTCGGTGGCGGGCTAATGCCCGCCACGGAACTCCATCGATGTGACAAAGTGGGGAATTTCCGTGCAATTTTAATGAAAACGAAACTACCGGCTCATCGATCATTATTAAATTGGTTCATTACTCAAACAGCGTTTTCCCGGGGTAATCTTGGCTTCGTGGCGTTTAACGGCCAATCGGACCTCGATTTAAAAGAGGACCTGCAAACGGCACTCCCGGCTGCCGAGTACTGCGATGTCATTTCCGGCAGAAAAGTCGCCGGGAAATGCACCGGCAAAACAGTCAGGGTCAAGGATGACGGCACAGCCTACATCGAGATACTTAAGGACGAAAAGGACGGTGTTCTCGCGATCCATGCGCAGGTAATCATTACGGTATAGTCGGGAATTTTCCTTCTCTTACTCGCAGGTGACTCGTCCTTTTTCCTCCGTTGCGTGTGGGAAAGACTACCAGTGAATTCCTTCTGTATACCTATAGATTAAATTATGGCCTCGGGTCGAGCCACCATTAAATTTGTAAGCATTTGTAATGATAACGTAAATAAAAATAGCAATAATAATAAGAAATAATAAAGGTGAAAATAAGAGTAAACGAAGCTGGAAGAAACTGTTGCATTTCCGAGCTTTTCTCATTCAGCGCGAATGATAATTGTCCGCGAACCTAATAAAACGCGATGCGCGTAATTCGAATCTAATGTATCGGCGGCGCGTATTTTCAAATTGTACGACAATTACAAGGGTAATAAGTATACACAATTTATAAATGTAAATTGTTTTAATAACGTCGTGGTAAAAGTCGAATAATTACAGCGCTCTTAGCGAGGATCGCAAATTACAAGTGGCTTCATTAATGACTGAATATATTACTAATTTTCAGACAAAGCTGTAGCGCCTGTACCGTTCGACTTCCGGGGACAAAGAAGAAGAAGAAGAAGAAGAAGAAGAAGAAGAAGAAGAAGAAGAAGAAGAAGGAGAATGAGGTAGAGGATGAGGAGGACGAGGAGGACGAGGATGAAGAATAAGAAGAAGAAAAAAAGGCAGAAGATGATGATGATGATGATGATGAAGAAGAAGTGGTAGAAGAAAAAGTGGCAGCAGTGCCAGTGAAAGCCAGCTAAGACTTATCGGCCCATTATTGCGCCGATTATACTTAAATCGTGAAAACTGTTAATTACTTTACGAGCGACCGATGTACATAAAAGGACGATGTTAAATAAATAGATAATTGAAAGAAGGTGAAAGTGCGGAGCAATTTATTTTTTCCCAAGGACCGACGCGAGTTTCACAGCTCCGTCAGGTCGTCGTTGTAATAACAAAGGAGATTGGGAACGTAGGTGGTGGAGTCGTCGGGAAGGCCGCAGGCGAGATACCGATCGCGCTCGTCGGCGATGCCGTTTCCCGTCAGAGACAATGCCAGATCCAGGGGCTTTCCCTCGAACTTCCACGTGTAGGACTCGCCGTGCAGGTTGAGGATCTTGGCGCGCTCCCGAATCCGCCGGATGCTATCTTCCTCGCAGACCTGCGAACGTACTTTGGATGAAGGTCGGGCGCATGCGCGCCTCGTTAAAACCAAGGTGATGGACTGATCGAGCGTTAGACCACATTACCGATATCGTTGCCTGCTGACCCGTTAACACGTTCGTTATTTTGCAAGGTCTCGACTTTTTAGTCAGACAGCCTATTTGATACTTGCTGCCGTTGAAGATGTGCTCGAGCTCCAGCCAGGACTTTCCCGTTAGGCGCGCGTCTATCACGACGAGAAATTCAAAACAATCAGTGGGCCAGCTCGGACGAATGTTCTGCTTCTTTTTCTAGATAAAGCTTTTGTGGATTTAATGGGTACTTTAACATTAATGCGCATGGCGCTAATCTAGGAAAGATTATAACGGATTTTAATAATTGTAACTCCTTAGGCGCTCGAGGCACACGAGGGACCGTTATAATTTTCGTTCATAGCGCTTTTCGATGTTACTTTTTGACTGATTTGATATAAAGGTAACGCCTTATACTTTTGTACTTTCATAATACTCTAACTTATCATCCTGCTCGTTTGTCGTTTCTTTCAAATTCTCTTTCTCTCTTTCTCTCATTCTTTATTTACTCTTTATTATTGGTTTATCACACGCGCGCGCGTGTGAACCTGTCATCGTTTGGGAACATAATAGCCCCTTACGAAAGTTAAGTACGATAAGATTAATTATATTTTCTAAATCTAAGTAGTTCAGTAATTTAGGTCTTGCAACTTTCATTTCAATATACTACACGTGGACGTTTTGTCAAATTTGTACAATCAGTGAAAGTTGGTGCAGAAAAATTGCGATATCAAAGCTCATCCGACGCTACACTTTTATAGCATGTGCACGCCGGATGGGAATCGTAAAGCAAATTTACCATCCCTATTCTCTTAATTCAGTCGGCATCTTGTAATACTCGGCTCAACTCTGCAAATCGCTTTTACATTGCGTGCACTGCTGGCGAAATTATTAAACATTCCCGATGCACTTGCGTCCGAGTATGCGCAATATCCTCGTCGATTGTACCCAACCAACATTTCGTATCTTACCTAATACGAACAGTGCACACGAGCCTCAAATAACAATATTAATACCAATAATAATAACAATAACAATTACAATAAGTATAACAACAACAACAACAACAACAACAACAATAATAATTATGATTATTATTATTACTTTTATTATTATTTATATAGTTTGTACAGGCCTTAGTCCCTTTGCTTTCCTTCGACTTTCCCTAACCCGCCACTCGCGCTTTTAACAATATCATCGGAAAATAATCGATCCCATTTAATCTAAAACCAACGCATTCGTAGCGTAAGAGATAGGAATTTGCCGACCGTGGATGAATGGGGTTTCGTCTCGTCGGCAGACGTTTATTCCCCATCTCCTTCACTCCCTCCGCCACCGCTCCCACCCACTATTGAATAAGTAAGCCCTTATAGCCAGCTAAAGCACATGCTCGTAATCTACCGAGTCTCACACTTACTAGTCAAGTAAGGAAAAAAAAAAAATTGGAGTGATAAAGGCATTAGCCGCTCCCTCGTTCCATACCGGGCGATTCGACTACGTCGCCGATCTCGATTGACCGTCCGCTGCAGGAGTTGGCGCAGCTACTGGTACAGCTGCAGCTGCAGTGGCAGCCCTCGGGATCCGGCTGGATCGTCGGGATGCTCTCGGTACCCTCGGGAATGGGAGTCGAGTATGGAAGGAGGATCCGACGATCGCCCGTCGATGGATCCACGTAGCGCTTGAGCCTCGCGACGGGCCCTCGACGACGTCCCTTCATCGAACAACATTGACAATTGGAGATGACTTCTCGAGTCCCGTGATAGGTTTCACCGCGAGTCTTTTAACGGGTGACAATCGACCGAGCGCCCGGGTCTTTATGTCGAGTCCGAATCGAGCGCGACCTCGTGGAAGTCGAGCCTCTCGCTTCAGCCGCGCGTTTTTTCCACCGGGAGCAAGTTATCGTCGGGCGATCGATTTTGAGAATCGATAATAAAACGTCGTGCTCGATAGTTGTCGATTCGTCCTTCGTCGAGTATCCGCCGAATCGTCAATACCCTTCTTCCATCGAGCCCAAGCTGCGCGGCATTTGCAGCAGTCGCAGTTATTTTCTTTATTTTCTTTTCTTCCTTCATTTTTCATTAGTTTTTTTGCTTCCATTAACCGCGCTATTGTTATTATTAAAGCTCATGTGTTACTTAGCAGACGAAGAGCCGTACGTAATATATACCAAATACACGTTTATCGTCGTTAAAATAAAAAAAAAAAATAATAATAAAAAAAAAAACACTATCGATAAAAAGCCATTTAAGATGCATTATTTATTACCTTATGTAAATAAATATAAAGAAGGGATTTTATAGCGCCTATAAATTTTGAGGAATTTGGTTTAAAAATGTTCTCAAATTCTAATAATAAATATTCTTAAATTAGCTACAGGATGTATTTATAGTCTAGAGTGAAAATAATATTCAGTGGTTGGCTACTCGTTGAGGCAAAAACAACTTGTCGTCCAAGATTTAAAAGTGCCGACATTTTTATTTAACTAAGAATACATAACAGTAACTCATTCGAAACTCAGAGCAGGTAAAAATAAATGAAAACAATGGCGCTCGAATGAGAGAGAAAAATGGTTTCCTCGGCAATAGTGTTGGGAAAGTCGATCGCTTGTTTCATTGCTATTGGCGAAGAGTCATCATCCGTCGTTGTCATTTCGAGCAGTTAACCTTCTTAAGTGGCGCACCGATGCGCGAAAGAACGCGGCGCATCATCCCCGCGGATGACTAGGCCGAGAAGAGACAATTCAAGTGCCAATTTGGGAGAGCGGATTGGCCTAGGCGCGCCGTTAAGTACGCATCGACTTCCATTACCCGGTGGCGCTATTCGGTCGATCGACGCCTCATCGCGGATAAAGTCCCATTGGGAAAAGCTCGAACCCGTGCTTCGAACCAGTGGCTCACGTCCTTCCCACCGTGGGCCACCAGGTACATGCTGATCAGGCTCCTGCAGTTTTGCCTTACGTAGTCCGTGAGGTCGTAAACGCCTCCTAAGCAGGTGAGCCAGCAATCGTCGGTCTTGTTGTGGATGGCTACCTCGTCCGGCAAGAAGTAAGGAAATTGCTCTTGCGATTCCAGCATTGGGAAACGTGGAGGAGCCCGTAATAACCCGAGCGAGGGATTGATGCTATTAATTTTGATTTATGTAATCGACGTTAATTGCTACGTTAAAGCCGTATTGGACATTCTCCCTACACTATACCCTGACCCCCCCCCCCCCCCCCCCCCCCCCCCCCACCCCCCCGCCCCCCG